GTGATCCACCTGCCTCAGACTCCCACAGTGCTGGGATTCCAAGCATGAGCCATAGCACGGGCCAGGCCAGATTTTCTATTCTGACTTCTACTGCATTGTCTGAATTGCTAGAGCTCTGGGAGGACCAGGGCCCTATGATTCTTTAGAAGTTTCTTCAGAAGTTTTGTGGCTGTTCTTGGCACTTGTTATTTCATAACATGTAGAATTAATATGTCAAGTTTATTGATAAAACCTGTTAGGGCCTTAACCAGAGCTGTGTGGAATCTAAGTCAGTTTGGGGAGAACTGGCAGTTTTGTGATTTGAAATTTCACATCTGTCAACGTGGTTTACATTCCACTTGGTTAGGTTCATTTCAAAGTCCTCCAATAAGATTTTATGATTTTCTCCGTATAGCACTTGCCCATTTTTGATTTGTATTTATTCCTGGTTACTTTATTTTTCTGTTGCTGTTGTACATGATGTCTTTTTAAAAACACCATTTTCTGGCTGATGGTTGCTGGTTTACAGAACTGCAGTGGATTTTCATGAACTCTCAAGCACTCACCTTACCAAGATCTTTTATTTCTAATAGCATATCAGTAGATTATTTGCAGTTGCTGCTGTAAAAAGACATATCATTTATAAATGGTGAGTCCTCTCCAAGTTTTGTAGCTTTCATTCCTTTTCCTGCATTGCTGTGGTAGTTTAGCCCCGTATTGCAGTAATTAACAGAATCAGTTATGGCGGGTCTTCTTATCTTATTCCAGATCATAATGGGAGTGTTTCTGACATTTCTCCATCAGGAAAGATTTCTGCAAAGGGTTTTTCTGGCATGTCTTTTATGAGGTTAAAGAAACTTCAGTTCATCCCTAGTCTTCTAAAAGATTTTTATGACTATTTTAGAATAGTATCAAATGCTTGTCTGCCTCTGTTGAGATGATCACATGGTTTTTCTCTTTCATGTTGTTAAGGTGGGGAAATATATATATTTGCATAAGTTTAATGTATACATGATTCTATTTCTAAAACCAGATTAAGTTATGCATTTCTGGGATAAGCCCAATTCCATAAGCAGATTTTTAGTTAGCTAATATTCGACTATATTTTTATGGCCCCATGTTTACAAGTGAGAAATGTCTATGCTCCTCTTTTGTGTTTGCCTTGCTGAATCTGAAATCAAAGGTATATTGGGCTCATGGAATGAGTTGGGAAGCTTTCCTCTTTTCTGTCTCTAATTCCATTTTTGAAAGCATTTTTATAAGTGTGGGGATGGCCTTTTAAAAATGTTTGGTATAACTTTAAACCTTTCTTGTCTTGCTATTTCTTTGTGGGAAAATATTAATCTACTGATTAGATTTCTTTCATAGTTATATGTCTGTTTACACCTATCATCTCATCTCACAATGAGATGTTTCACTTTTGGAAATTATATTTTCTAGGAATTTGCCAATTTCTTTGGATTCATTATTGCTCTTTTTCATCATCTTAAATTGGATGTTTAGTTCATTAATTTTAGCCTGTGTTCATTTAAATAAAACCTCAGAGCTATAAATGCCCTACTCGATAACAGTTTTGTTTCATCCCACAAGTTTTAAAATTGTCAGTCATTCAATTATGACTTTCTTTCTTTTTTTAAAAAAAAAGAAAGAGAGAAAGAAAGAAAAAGGAATGAAGGAGAGGAAGAAAGAGAAAGAGGGAGAGAGAAGAGGAGTATTGCTTTATTGCCCAGAGTAGATTGCAGTCCAAAAATGGGTATTGAAAACCTCTTTTATACCAATAATTGTGCTTAATAATGGAGACAGGAAAAAATGAGGGAAGAAAATAACAAACAAGCTGCCAACCAATACTTCATTTAAACCTGTGAGTAGGTGTGATGTGGTACTGATGAGAGTGCATATTTTGTGTATTTGAAGTGGAGAGTTCTATAAATGTTTATTAAGTTTACTTGTTCCAGATCTGAGTTCAAGTCCTGGATTTCCTTGTTAATTTTCTGTCTCGTTGATCTGTCTAATATTGATGTTTTGTGATCATTTTCTTCAGTGAAGGAGTTAGTTAGAAATACATCTTAAAATTTCCAAATCTTTGGGAACCTTGCGTTTTGTATTGTTGGTTTCTAAATTAATTGCAGTATGGTTAGATAACATCAAATGTATGATACCATTATTTTGAAATTTAATGTGGTTAGCATAAAGTCCAGTATACAGTTAATATTTGCTTCAAAGGAATGTATATTATTTTCTTATTTGGTTCAGGATTCTATATCCATCTAATAAAGTAAGCTTGTTGAATGTATTATTCAAATTTACTATATGTTTACTTTTTTCCTAATTGAAAAAGCAATAGTCTAAAGAGATGTGTCAAAAATCTCTCCCTTTTAAAGTGCATTTGCCAATTTTGCCTGCAGTTTTATCAGCTTTGCTTATGTGTGTGTGTGTCTTCCCTCCCTCTCCCTCCCTTTCTCTCCATGTGTTTATGTGTGTGTCACTCCTCCATCTCTCCTCTCTCTCTCTCTGTTTCGCTCTCTCTCTCTCTATATATATGTGTATATATATATGTATATATATATGTGTGTGTATATATATATATGTAGTATTTTTTCTCCTTTATTACATATTTTTCCTTTGGAAATATGTGGAGAT